AAATAAATCATCACGATTGCATCACCCTTCAGTTTTCTTATTACATTGCTTGGAGTATTACATCATCTTTCAAGAAGGTATAAAAGAGGATAGAGGACACCATCCTTTTTTAAAAATAAATTTATTTATTTTATTTAATTTTATTTTTGGCTGTGTTGGGTCTTCGTTGCTGCGCATGGGCTTTCTCTAGTTGCGGCGAGCAGGGGCTACTCTTCGTTGTGGTGCACGGGCTTCTCATTGCGGTGGCTTCTCTTGTTGTGGAGCACAGGCTCTGGGAGCACGGGCTTCAGTAGTTGTGGCACGTGGGCTCAGTAGTTGTGGCACATGGGCTTAGTTGCTCCGCGGCATGTGGGATCTTCCCAGGCCAGGGCTCGAACCCGTGTTCCCTGCATTAGCAGGCGGATTCTTAACCACTGCACCACCAGGGAAGCCCCGAGGACATCATCTTTGTAGTTTTATTATCACTTTCATTGCATGCCATGGAGAATACAGAATTTTTCATTGCCTGCACAAAATGGTGAAGAGAAGAAAATTGACAAAGGAAAATGTTTTACAGTAGTTAGACAAATCAGAAGGGACAGCAGCGATGTTGACTCTGATGTTAACAGTAAAATTCACTCTGTAAGCAAAGTCTCAGACTCTGAGTTTTACCATACAACAATCTGGATCAATTTTCTCACACTCCAGAAGCGATCAATAAACAATATATTTTTGAGGACGAAAAATATGGTATTCTCATCCAGTTAGTCATTCAACAAGAATGGTTTCATCACCCAATATTTTGCAACAAGAACCTGGACTGTCCTGTTTTGCTCAAAGAAGGGGAGGCCAATCTTCTTGTACCTTTTGTGGTGTTTGTTTAGCAAAATTTCCTTGATACAGTTTGAAAGGGACAAATGATGAAGTCGGGTGTGTTTACAAAGGTGATCCAAAGAATATTCTTACTAGTGTTTATAAATGCAAGAAAGAAAATGCTTTGCAATTATGGAGAAAAGAAGATGACCGTCTTCTCTTTAGGAAAATTACAACCCATCAAAGGTTTGAAAAGTACTAGTTTTATGATGCAAGTGCAAGAAGAACCAGAAATAATAATAAATTAGAACTTATTAGAGATTCACTTGAAATCTGAAATTAGTATTTGTGAGATGGATCTGCCCCTGGTTCAGCTGGTGAATAGTTACTTGCATGTAGAGAATGTTGCTCATTTTGAGTTTATGTACCTTCAAAGTCAGGAAGATGGGAATGAAAATTTGCTATATTTATTTCTGAAATATTTATTTATTTTGGCTGCGCCTGGTCTTAGTTGTGGCATGCAGGGTCGTCTTTGCTGTGTGCGGGATCTTTGTTGTGGCGTGCGGGATCTACGTCCCCGATCAGGGATCGAACCTGGGCCCCGTGCATTGGAAGCGTGGAGTCTTAACCAGTAGACCACCACCAGGGAAGTCCCTGCTATGTTTAAATTATTCAATTTTGTAATAAAAATTTAAAAGCTGTCCCTTTATTATTATTTCTGTAAATTACTCAGAAAAATAAAAAGGCTTCATTGGACCAAATGATGATGACAGTTTTTTCCTGCTGTACTGGGAGCTGAGGTTACAGGCGAGAACATTAGAACAAAAATCAAGTAAACTCCTTCAGGCAAGCAGGAGCCAGTGTAGAAGGAGCCAGTGAAGAAGCCGTTCCCCCACCCCATCTTCCTTAAAACTCCCTGTTAAGGATTGATGACTGTTTTACAGTGGGGTGCTTTGAATGAGAGACATTGTCATATAACCTCTCTGTTTATTCTCCCCTTTAGTGGAACTCAGTACTTCTCTAAATTCAGTGGGGATAAGAATTATGTATAATAAAAACATGGATACTGTGTTTTATGTGTGGTAGGCAGGACTTTTAAGATTAATTTTGACCATTCAAGATTTTTACTTTGTTGGAAGACTTTAGAACCTACTTGTCTTAGTCTGCTGGGGCTGCTATCACAGAGTAGCATCGACTGGGTAGCTTAAATAACAAACATTTCTTTCTTTCTGTTTTTCTTGGCTGCACTGCGCGGCTTGCGACGTCTTAGTTCCCTGACCAGGGATTGAACCCTTGTCCTCGGCAGTGAAAGTGCAGAGTCCTAACCATTGGACCACCGGGGAATTCCCACAAATATTTCTTTTTCTTAGTTCTGGAGGCTGGAAGCCTGAGATCAGGATGCCAGTGTGATTTGGTTCTTAGTGGAGGCCTGCTTCCCTGAATTATGCATAAAGAGAGGGAGAGGGGGGAGAGAGAGATATTGAGAGAGAGAAAGAGAGAGATCCATCTCATATCTCCTCCTCTTTTTATAAAGATATTAATCCCATCATGAGGGTCTGACCCTCATAACCTATCTAACCCTACTTACTTCCCAAAGACCCCACCTCCAAATACCATCACACTGGGGCTTAGGCTTTCAACATATGAATTTGGGGAGGACACAAATGTTCGGTCTATAGCACTAACCCACTCTGACATTTAGTCATTCAGTCAACTCTTGTGTGTGTCTGTGTGTTAGACCCGTGTTGCATACTGGACAGCAAGGAAGAGATAAATCCAGGCACTGCCCTTACAGCAGTACAAATTTAGAGAGGAGGAAATAATAATTTTTACAGCACTGTGTGGTTGGCATTATGATGGAGATGAGGGCAGGGCACTATGGGAACTAAGAGAATGGTTGCCCTCAACCACTGACCCCTCAATGGTTGACACCTCATAAAAGGTGTCAAAGATGAAAAATTTTTAGTTTTTACGTTCGCTTAAAAAACAGGAACTGAAGAATGGTTAAGAGGATGGTTAGGAGGCATTTAGAAGGTGGAAACAGGGAGAAAAAGCATCCCAGGCAGCTGGACCAACATGCACAGAGGCCCAGAGGAGTGAGTGAGAGCAGGCAGGATGGAGACCTGGGTGGTCTGGTGTGGCAGGGAAGGATGGTGTTTTGGAGGAGAGGACTCTTGGCTGAACGTTGACTGGGTTGATCCCGAGGGCCTGCTGTGTCTGTCTTCATCTGCAAGTAACAGAAAACCCAATGCAGAAGTCTTAAACAATAAAGACAAGTGCGTTACTCCCCATTCCAGAAAGTCCTGAGGTTGTGGGGCTAGTGAGGGTGCAGAGATGGTTTGGAGGAGGAGACCTCCAGGGGGGAAACACATTGAGAAGTCACGTGGCAAATTGGAGATGCGAAGGTAGAGGCGATTTTTACAAGCTTGTGGGGGACAAACTGGCAAGATAACCAGCTTTTGCACTTGAGGGGTAGGTGGGGAAAATGATGGAAGTTTAAGCCTTTCTCTCTCTTTTTTTTTTTTTTTTGGCCGCACCGCGTGGCATATGAGATCTTACATGTTCTCCAACCAGGGATACCGAACCAGGGATCGAATCCATGCCCCCTGCATTGCAAGGACAGACTCTTAACCACTGGACCGCCAGGGAAGTCCCTAAGCCTCTCTTTTACCTCTCTTTTACCAGTTCCCCCATCACCTGCCCCGTGCTCTTCCACTTCTCTTCCATCTCCCACCCCCATCTCAATCATTGCTATCACTGCTTTTCTGGTTGCTCTAGCAAAAAAAACAAAAAAACAAAAAAACCCCAGGAGTCCTCTTTGATATGAAAATGAGCCATTTTCTCCTTCCCTTCACACCTCTGTATGTAACTCATCACCACTTTGTGTTGTTTCTGACTCCAAAATACCTGTCGATTCTGTTCGCTTCTCTCCACTTCCACCATCCAAGCCTCAGTCATCTCTGTCTTGTCCTACCGTGGAGCTATCTGCTCTCTTGCTTCCACTTTCGCTCACCAACACTCTCTCCAATCCTAATTCTCTGCACTGTGGCCAGACGGATAAAAAAAACCAAAAAAACAACCAAACCAAGCAACCAACAAAAATAAACCCTCAACACAATCCTATCACTCCATCGCTTGACTCCAGAGGCCTCCTTAGAATCCAATCCACACTCCTGACCACGGACCGGAAGGCCCTGTAAGATCTGGCCCTGGTGATTTTGCAGACCTCAGGGGAACCACCCCCTCACTCATTCCCTTCCAGCATCTTTTTTCTATACTACAAATAAGCCGACCTCTTTCCTGCCTTAGGGCCTTCATGCAGGCTGTCCCTGCAAATCAGGGGCCTTGATCAGTTATTATCTTGTTTATTTATTTTCATTGTTTGTTGTCTTACTGTTTTTCCCATCCAAAATGCATTATAAGGGCCCTGACGGAGAGGACCTTGTTCGGCAAGTTCAATGTCAAATCCCTAGCACCCACTGCAGTCCCTGACTCACAGCAGATTAAGTGTGTGTGTGGTTATTGAATGATGAAATGCCTCCTGGTTCCATTAGCAGAACTGGGACTTCCAGAGAGGAAACCCCGTTTGGGGGAAAGGTCGTGGATGTAAAGAGTTAGTGGGCCACCCAGGTGCGATATCCAATGCACAATTCAACAGCCACCTCCCCTTTCTTGTGGCATTTCATAGTTCGGCCAAGGCCCTGCTTTTTGCTGAAATTATTTCTAGGTTGAAAGTGCTTTCATATACACGGCTTTTTTAAACCTCTCTACAGCCTTGGGAGGGAGTAGAATTATTATTCCCATTTTACAGATGAAAACCTCAAGCTCAGAGATTCTTGTCCAAGGCACATACAGCTGGAAGGGTCAAGTCCAGATTTGAACTTGGGTATTCAGATTGCCAGATCTTTGTATTTTATTATTGTTCTGAAGTCAGAACCCACTTCGCCATCCCCACCAGTGAATAATAAGTATTATAGATCATGTTGCAAAACACTTTCATTTTGATGATGAACAAAGTGAACTTAGCCTGATGGCCAGAGGAATCCAGTGCCCATGTATGTGTATATATATATGTATATATATATATAGATACACACACACACAAATATATATATACACACACACACAATTATATATATATATATATATTTTTTTTTTTCTCCTTAAGACCTTAAAACCTTGAGAGGCAGAAGAAGTAGGAAGAAGTAAAAGAGAGAAGAGTAAAAGAAAGTCCTCAGAAGAAAGAAATGCTCAGGAACTAAGGTAAGATTACAATCTAAAAGGAAGCCAAAGAATGTTTTTTAGACTCTTCTTGTTTTTTTTTTTTAAGTTTTTTATTTTTATTTTTAAAATTTATTTATTTATTTTTGGCTGCGTTGGGTCTTCGTTGCTGTGCGCGGGCTTTCTCTAGTTGCAGTGAATGGGGGCTACTCTTCGTTGTGGTGCGCGGGCTTCTCATTGTGGCGGCTTCTCTTGTTGTGGGCTCTAGGTGCACAGGCTTCAGTAGTTGTGGCACATGGCTTAGTTGCTCCATGGCACGTGGGATCTTCCCAGAGCAGGGCTCGAACCCGTATCCCCTGCATTGGCAGGCGGATTCTTAACCACTGCGCCACCAGGGAAGCCCACTCTTCTTGTTTTTTGGCTAGGTAACAAACAAAAAGAAGTGGGTAACAAGATAAATTAGGCATACAAAACTAAAGCAAGAGGGCTGATAACTGATGAGAAAAGAGCCCTCGGGGGATAAGGCAGAAGGAGAGAGAGGGAGAGGCGGACCAGAAGGGGATGCTCTGCAAGAAGCCTGGGTCCATCATCATTAACCTCGTGAAGTTCACTGCAGGCTGGCCGGTGCTGGGTGTTTAGGAGGGACAGAAAAGAGGAAGGTGTTGGGCCCTTGACGTCAGTTACTGATGGTGGAGATGAAGAAGGGTAAGGAGAGCTAATCTACAGAGTGTGGAGGGGAGAGACAGCTCTTGGGTGGGTAGGGATCTAGGCACTGTGGCCTTCAAATCTCAGCCTTGATGCCGATTAGCTGTGTGATCTCAGCCAGGTTACTTAGCCTCTCTGTTGAGGCTAGAATTTATGTTGAGCAGCCTCAGTCTTCTCAACATAAGTTCAAGGATAATAATGTGTGCTTCATAGGGTTTTTGTAGGATTACGTGAGATAGCGTGTCAAATGCCTTGCTTTTGGCACCTGGCACTCACTGAATAGCCATTGTTTTCCCCAGTGATCAAAGCAGGCAGTGGTGGCTGTGGCCACTCTCTGACCCACATCCCAGTGTGAGTAAGAACCGTGACCTTCTGTTGCTTTGGACACTATCAGGTCCTCAGAGGACAGGAAACAGAGTTGGCGAGCTGCCCCCTCCTTCTACCTTGGTTGATGGTGAGATTGGGGTGGGTTTCATCTGGGGTCAGCTGTGTGGGTAGCAACTGGGTCCATTTTTATTTGCAGGTTATCGTGTGCCGTTACTTAGCACATTTGCTTTTTCAAAATGCCTTAATGGAATGCTATAGTAAAAAGAGAAAAATCTTTCATTCGTATGTGTGTGTCATCCAAATGATATTTTTAAAGATTTATTTTTGTGTGTTCACGATGTTCTTGAATAATCTTTCCATAAGTACGGTCAAAGATAAAACACGTGGTACACAAAATCTGGTCGTGCATATTTTAGAGTATGACTGTCTTTTGACCAGCCCTGGGCTACATTTCCCGAGTTCTGCGCTGTGTTTCCTTAGGAGGGCTTGCGTGAGCTGGTTTGCTGACTGGGAAACTTTTGAACGCAGACCAAGCTAATGGTGGTGCCCTCTGCCAGTGTCACCCTTTCCCTTTTTCCACCCACAGTCTGGCTCTCCGTCTGGACTCGTGGAGGCCAGACTCTTTGTGTCTCAGTCATTTATTCAACAAATATCCGATGGACACCTTTGCTGTGCTGGGTGCTGGGCTGGGCTTTGTGGGATATAGTGGTGAATAAGATGGGCAAGGTAGCTGGTCTCATGCTGCCCATAAAGTAATGAGAAAATAGAGTGTCTAAGGGTCTGTGTCAATGAGCGTGGTCTGAGAAGGCTCCTCTGAATAAGGATTATTTCTATAAAAATCTGAATGACTTGAAAAAGCCCGCCGTATGAAGACAGAGGGAGGCTACTCCCAGCCAGAAGCAGAGTAAGAACCAAGGCCCTGAGGTTGGAACTAAGGTTGACTTGTTCGAAGAACTGAAAGGTGGTTAGTGTGGCCGGGGTCTAGTGAGTGATGGGGAAAGTGGCAGTAGATGAGAAATTTAAGGCCAACGGCCAGGGCAAAGGCCTGCTGTAAACAAAATACCATAGACTGGGCGGCTTAAACAACATTCTCTTCCAGATCTGGAGGCTGGGAAGTCTGAGATCAGGGTGCCAGCCTGGCTGGGTTCTGCTGAGGGCTCTCTTCCTGGCTTGTAGATGGCCATCTTCTTGCTGTGTTTTCACATGGTGGGGAGAGAGAAAGAAAGCGGGTAAGCTCTGTGGTCTTTTCTTTTAAGGGCGTTAATCCCATCATGGGATGCTTCACCCTCATGACCTCATCTATCCTAATTATCTCCCAAAGGTCTCACCTCCAAATAACCTTTCCACCAGGGGTTAGGGTTTCCACATATGAATTTTGGGAGATACAAACATTCCGTCCGTATCATGAATTTCACTGTTAAGCATTATGGAACCCTTGAATCCTGTGCAGTTATCTTAGAGAGGGAGGCAGAGGAGGGCATTGTGGCAGCAAAAACACTTGGCCAAAGGCTGAGGGAGAGCATGGCTTGTTAGGGCTTATCTCTTTTTGCCTTACATCTCTGCTTCTCTCTGCGGATCCACTTTCTCTGCATTTCTGGGCCACGTGGCCAAAGATGGCCTCACCTAACTGTAGAGTTTTGCGTCTCTGCCATCCAGAGATCAGCCCAGAGTGAGCTGGAATCTCTCTGTTGTAATTCCAAATTCCAAAAAGTTCCTAATTCCAGGGGGAGAATCTGATTGGCTCAGATCTCTGCTCTGGTGCTTTGTGGTCAAGGGGGTAGGGCCGTGGGATGTGATCTCATGGACGGGTACCCACCCTGGGACTCTGTGGATATGGCTGGGGGAGCAGTTCCCTAAGATGGAGCCTCACCGTAATCAGGGCACCAAGAGGTACCCAAAGGTGTCAACTCTCAAGAGGCGGAGGGAAACGCAGCAGTTGTGAGTCTGCCTCTGTCCCCACTCAGCTACACCCAGCTCTCTGGGTTCCTAGGTCAGCTTCAGACTGGGAAGGGAGATGGTCCTCCCCAGGCACCACAGAGAAGACAGCATCAGGAGTTTGAGAGTCAAGGGAACCACACAGGAAAGCAGAGAGTAGGCGGAGCCTGGCTAGGGGGTGCCGAGGTCCTCGATGCCACCACAGAAGAGCCTTGCTGTGTGGACTCCGGAGGTGGCTGTCAGGATTATAGAGCCGCCCAGGATGTGACTTGCTGGTGTCCGCCCTTTCCTCACACCTTTAGAAGTGAGGTCCTCTGGTGAAGACTTTCACTGCCACAAGGTCACCAGGGTCTGGAGTGACTCTTGTGATCTAGGTGATGAGGTTGGAGCGGAGGGAACATTCCAGGCTCCTCAGAACTGATTGAGATCTCCATGACCCATCCTGAGCCTCACCTTGGAGTCACCCCAGTGAATCCTGGGCTCCCTTTTCTTATTCCCCCCCCCCCCCCCCACTGCTCAAGTCTGCCTCCCTCTCTTACACACTTCTGTTCCATTCTCTAGCAGTCTCCTCGAGTGTAGACCTGTTCTTTCCAACGAGTTAACTGAAAGCTACCAGAAGTCAGGGGTGGCTGTGGGAGGTTCCCTTTTCTGTGTGACTCGTACGGTCCTGGACACGGCAAAGGCTCTTGGCAAATATTTGTCCACTGAATTGAAAATGGTTTGTGAGGGGACTTCCCTGGTGGTTCAGTGGTTAAGAATCCGCCTTCCGATGCAGGGGATGTGGGTTCCATCCCTGGTCGGGGAACTAAGATCCCACATGCCGTGGGGCAACTAAGCCCACACGCCACAACTACTGAGCCCGTGCACCACAACTACTGAGCCCACGCGCCACAACTACTGAGTCCACGCACCACAACTACTGAGCCCACGTGCTGCAATGAAGACTCGACACAGCCAAAAATAGATAATGAATAAATAAATATTAAAAGAAAAAGAAAGGAAAGAAAATGGTTTGTGAGTCTGACTTATTCTCAATTCACTGAGGACCAAAGCGGGTCTATGGGATGGGTCCATATCTAGGCAGCAAATGTCAGGATCACCAATCATCAGTCATTTACTTCTCGCCTTTGCGGCTTTTGCCGTATTTGCATTCTACCCATGCAATTACTACTCACTTTCTGCTTTTCTTTAAAGTGGCGCACATTTTTCACTTAGAAAATTTGTTTTGACGGGAAACTTTCTTCCGTGACTGTGCGTGAAAACGAGTATTTACCTTCCTGTAAACAGAAGGTGATTGGAAAAATAGATACACGTCTCTTAAGTAGAAAGCCCGCGTCCATTGCCCTGTGAATCATCTTGAGAGGTCCAGTAACACACACATCACGCTGGCCCTGGACACACTTCTGGATCTTGGGCAACTTGCCATTCTGTGATGTGTGGGCATGGCAGCCAGGGGCTGCCACTTGCTGTGGGCGTCACTGAAGAGGCAGCTTGGGTTACCAGCAAGAAGGCCCAAGGAAAGCTCTGGTGCCTTTCTCTCATCTTTGGGGACTCCCTGCTGCTTCCCTCCTGCCCTGTTCCAGGCTCCTCCTGCCAGAATAGAGCTCACTCTTCTCCTTTCCCTGTCAGCTGCTAGTCCTGAGAAAAGCTATGGTGGAGGAGGTGAAGGAGGTGGATGAGGAGGAAGAGGGGGGAAGGGGGAGGAAGAGAGGGAGGGGGAGGAAGAGGAAGAGGGGGAGGAGGGAGAAGAGGGGGAGGAAGGGGAAGAGGGGGAGGAGGGGGCAGATGGGGAGGAGGAGGAAGAGGGGGAGGAGGGGGAAGAGGGAGAGGAGGGGGAAGATGGGGAGGAGGCAGAAGAGGGGGAAGAGGGAGAAGAGGGGGAGGGGGAGGGGAGGGTAGGCCTAGTGGCATGGGAAGGGGAACTGGGCCTGTAGAACAAAGGCTGGGCAGTTGGCTTGGAGGCAGAGAGAGCAGGATGAGGGCCTGGAAGTTGGAGGGGAGGGGGCTGAGAGGTGCAGAGGGTTGACCATAATACTTTGCCCCAGGAAAGCGGTTTTGGCTGAGAACAAGAAGAC